ATCCCGCACTTGAAAAACAGGAATCAGGCAGGCAGAAAGTAAAAGGTTTAAGAAATGGCGTCATAAAAAGGAGGCGTGATTTTCTTTATTCTTGTTGCAGGAGGAACGGCGAGAATGAAAACGAGTGTTGACGAAGGCGGTGTTTATCGCAGCGACTGGCTCGACGCTTGTTCCGTGGAGAAGAGGACGTGGAATATACGTATATGATACTCGTCATGCGGCGATCAGGCTGGCTCTTATCCGCTCAGCGGAGGAGCACCTCTAGGGTCTTTCTTTAACCCAAAATAAATTCGTTTCTCTCTCACTGGAACGCTGGAAGCAAACATTACGAGCAGACTTGGAAGTAATCCGTTACAAGTAACGGAATTACTTGTAATTAATTACTTTTCTAGTAATTTTGTAATTAATCCGTTACTTTTCTGAAAATGTAATTTGTAATCTAATTTAATTACTTTTTCAGTAACGTGTTGTTACTGAAATTACTCGTTACAATTCTTCCGCCCCGTCAAAGAGGAAAATTGAGTGGAAGAAGGGCGATGCAACGGCCTTCGCGCTTTTAGCATGGTAACACAAGACGGGGGTTCGCTCGCGAAGAGAGTGCTGGCGAGGGAAAGGAATTCACGGAAACCGCGACAGCCCAGCCAGAGCCCGTTTCTGGACTACTCGTTCGTACGCTCAGCCAGGCTGGGAGGATTCGACTGTCTACATCAAGGCAACAAGCTTCGATTTGAAAACGAACGGACTGCTTCGAGCGCAGAAAAGAGCAGAAAACTAGCGGCCCATAAAACCGTCGCGTGGGGGCCGTGAAGAGTACAAACGTGGACACTGTGACAGTGGTGCATATGTTCACTCGCCCCCCCCCCCCCCCCCCCCCTCCTTTCCCGTCCCACACCCTGCGTGTTGTCCCCCAAAAACCAATCAGCATTTTTTTTTTGTCACATGAGACCGTCCTTTGCTTGTCGATGTTCTGCCAACACATGCCCATCCCGCAGACAAAAAAAAAAAAAATTGTAACGAAACCTTGATTCTCTTCTGTTCATTTTTGACAGCGATGTGAAAGCTAAATACTGGCTGGACCAACCAGCTTTGTGGCTTCTGCCACTTGACTTCGCACTAGCGGATGCGTAAGGCACAAACATAAGGGAAGTGATGGCAGCAGCTCATTGGAACAGAAAAAAAAAATTTAGCCTCAACAGTACTGTCAGTTCAAACAGTAACTTTCGACAGCAGGCGATAAGGTGGCCGGGGAGCACAGCCAAAATGGCTTGGGACTTCGAAGCTGAACCCATATTCCTAGAAACGAGAATGTTGGGGTTCTCGTCAGCGGATTGTGTCTGCGGGAACTTACTTCGACATTTTAGGGAAAGGGAACACAGCCCGAGGTTTTTGAGAATAGGCAGTGGCTGACTGGGACACAGGAGTTAAGGCAACGTAAGGTGGCAGTAAACGCGTGAGATACATTGAAGCCTGCTGTTCACTGACAATTTGTGCTTTTCTTAATAATTTCTAAACAAAAAACGTCAGCTTAGTTGAAAAATTGTGGATTAATATGTCGTGTGAAGTTTCGGTTTTTATTAGTTTGATGATCAAGAAAAAAAGATCAAGTGGGTCAAGGCCGGATAACAGCCTTCAACAAGCGGGACTCTGAAGTCTGCCCAAACGCAAATACCGCATGTAGATCTCACAGTCAGTTTGTTTTAGTGGCTGAACCAGCTCCTATTTAGGCAATATGCAGCAACCATAGAAAAAACACATCTTCAGGAGAGTCGTGTTTTAAAGTTTGCCGATGCCATGCATATTTCGAATGGTGTGCGTGCCTCCGCCGCCCATGTGCATTCGTCGCATGTTCATGGGATTCAGTTTTGTCCCGGGTAAACAACGCTAGTTTCGTTCATATTGAACACCTGTTCCAGTCCTTTACAGCTTTATAGATTCATCCTCCTAAAATTATTATCCTAAAATAATCGTTGGATATACTACTGAATCTGTTTTTATTATTGATGGGGCCCGAAATTCCCCCCACAAACACACAGTAGAAATTACAGGTATTTTGCGTGTTTCTTTGGAGTAACGCAAAAGTAATTGAGTAAAGTAACGAAGTAATTAATCGATTACATTTTACGGGGAGTAATTTGTAATGGTAATTCACTACTTTTTAGGCCAAGTAATTGTAATTGTAATTAATTACTTTTTTGGCGTAACGGGCACAATTCTGATTACGAGACGCCTTTGTTCTCTCACGCCTCATTCAGTTTGCTCCATCCGGTCACATATTCTGTAACACCGCAGCGGCTCGCGGGTGCTAACGCTAGCATAGCACGAAGGGACCCGTTCGGATCACCCTCGGACATTCGCTCAGCGTGGTGGATAACCGATGACACCTCTGTTCGAGGCAGAGAGGGTGCACGGAATAGCGCGCTGAATGACACGGGGGAACCTCGTCCTGTTGTTCAGCGGTTGTTTTGGCTCGTCGTATGTTTGTATCTGGCTTGGCTGAGCGCGCGTGTATAGACTCACTCGCCGCGCTCGCTTCGCGCAGAGGATATGGCGCGTGAATATAGGCTGCGCCTTGTTGTAAGGCGGGCGCGCTCGTGTTTTCTATTGTGCTACGAGGCTTGTGCTAGGGGGAGAGGAGGAAGGTGTAACCCGATTTCATGACGGGCTTTAATGTTTTATGTATGCTCTCGCGAATGAGCACCAGGACGCGTCTACTTTGGTTCTCGATCCGCTGGAATGCAGCGTACCTTATTTGTGACTGCCAATGCGTGCCCCAGGCTGCGTTTCTTTTTTTTTTTTTCTTTGGCGGCGTTCGGGAGCGTAGTACGGGCCTTAGTAGACGGCGTAGCGGCGGCATAAATTATGTCGGTGCTGCGCACAACACGGTTAATCTATAAGGAGTCCACAAGTCCGTGTCTCCAAACGCAACGCGAGTCCCTGATGACAGCTCGCGTGGCGTGCTGCTACAACTCGCGTAATTGGTTCACCCCTGGCTGGCCTCAATCTGCGGCTGGAATTGGTTTTGCAAGAGGGTATCCCTGAAAGGGTTCCGTGAGTTGATGTGTCCGCCTCTGCATGCTTCACCGGATCGCTGGTCGTACTTATTGTTTTGTTAGTTATTCTTTTGTTGCTTGTTATGAATGCACTATCGGTACGCATCACGACGTTTCCACACCTGGTCGCCCGTGTTCTTCACTTTCCGGTCCTTCGCGGCAATTCGATAAATCGTGCTTTACGTGAAAGCTCGTCAAGAAGGGATTAGCCAGGGATGCAAACAAAAGTACGGAAGGAACCCGGATGGATGTCGGTATGCTAGCTTAGCTATGCTTTTATAGCTTGATGCGTGTTTTTTTTTCTTCATTTGTAAGCACTTACGCGATAATATATAGGGAGATATCTCATTATGGATCGCATGCGCAAAACAAACGGGCATAGTGGAGCTGGCTACGTTCTCATGAATGTAACCAGCTGCGCTCTGACACTGCATTTAATGTTTAATGCATTTATTTGTAAATATTCGAGATGCAGAAATTATCGTTATTATAAGATGAAACAAGCAAATTTCCAAGTTTTCCATGCCGACTTTTTTTGTCTTTCTTCGAAGAAGTTTAAAACTAAAAAAAAAATCGCGATATTTTTTTTTTTTTTTAAAGGAAACGGGGAGTTTGCTACGTGAATTTTTAGAAAGCACTCGTAGACAAACGGTTGAAGAGTCGCAAGAATGAGTCGTGGAGATAAATGTAAGGGTCACCCGGTATTATGAAATCTGGAGTCGTGTTTTTTTGGGAAGCTATCCGAATCTAGTCGCACCGCATGTCCTAAGACCTACTGCATCTTGCATAGTGTGCTCAGCGCTATGATCAAAAACACACGAGATAGAGCAGTCCTACAAAATGCTTTGTTGATAGGACTCTTCGCACCGAGCAAACCTTTCCAGGAGTCACAAGCGGGTGGCAAAGCTGCACAGAGAGCGCTCGAAAATGCATATAATGAACGGCTCTAGAAAAGTGCACCTGGCCGCCGTCACTCTATGTGTCGGCCTGGTTGGAATTAGTCACTGGAATATTTTTAGCAGAAACGAGTCGTGCACTGCTGCAAAAGCAGTGTAATGTCATTTGCATTCTTGTTTAATGGAAACATTTTTTGTCACATTGCCATTTTGTAACGTCTAGAGAACCAAAGCGCTGATGCGATAATAAATTAATCCGATAGAGAGAAAACGAAAAGTACTTTAATTAAGGATGCAATTAGTAGCTTATTTTCTTTACATCTTTAGTTCCGTCTCATTTTTCTCTTTCCCTGTTTGTAGCTTGTTTACTCAGTAGCAATCTCATTAACAAAACACCGGAAGCCTTTATCGTCGCATCAAAGCCGTACATCAGAAACTATAAGAAACTTAATGTACCGTCTATCATCCTTATACCCTTGATAGCCTTTCTTTATGAGATATACTAGCGGTCTCGCCCCGAGACGAGGGATTGAACTATCGACCGACACACTGTGCCCGCACCGGGTGGGGACAATGCGCGTGCGAAGAAACCGGATTCCGAAGCATCTGCGCATGCGCAGCGCCGACAGCAGCGCCACCGCAGTGGCGTGACGTCAGGGAGTCGAGTTGGTCTATGTAGTCACAGAATGATTATAGCTGGGCACGCAAAATCGAAGCTGGCTAAAGCGCGCTTTGTATGACCTGGCTGGGTCAGATGTCCCTGGCACCGTACTCGTCGGCATGCTATTTCTCGCGCTAGTTCCACCGGTATATCTCGTTCGTCACTCGGTAGTTAGCTTACCGTCGTCTAAGACTGTACAAGAACAAAGATTGCAGTGGATGTGACTCGGTCAAAATAAGACCCGAGTGTATTATATTCGGAATTACTGAAAAAAAAAAAATACCAACACGAGGCCTCGAACACCATCGTGTGTCCGTCACTATGCACCCTGTTGCGTGTGACGCTGATGTCGTATACGGTTGGTTAGTCAACCCGAATAGCCGAGGACCTCACCAAGGACGGGTAGAAGGCTGCGGATCCGGTCCCGAGAGCGGCCACGTAGCCCGACTGGTCCGCGTATGTGGACGGGTAGAGTCCGTTGACGGCCAGACCGGTGGCGAGCCGCGGGTACAGGAACCGAGAAGGCTCGTAGCACACCGGCTGCTCGGCTGCCATAGGACTCTCGGGCGCGCCGCCGCCACCTCCTCCACTGGATGTGCTGGACGCCGCTCCCGAAGACGGCTCGGCGCAACCCGGCGACGAAGACTGCCCGGTGACCAGCAACTGCGCCAGCGAGCGCAGACCCTCGTGTACCCGGTCACAAGTGAAAGACGAGTGCTCGTCTTTTTTGCGGGGAAATATGTCAAGGGCTTTTTGCTCGTCAAGTTTGCTCGATAACAAATTCCACCCTGCCTCGCAACATCTCCTAGGTGGGAAAGGCCCGTTTAAACTGAGACTATAGACTTTAAGAAATGCCTGCGCGTCTACTTACCTGCAAAATACTCAAAGAGCCAATCATTGCGATCTAGGAAATCAGCTCAGCGAATGATGAGGCCGAACATCCGTTTAGACCTAAAAATGAAGTCTGCGCTGTGGCATTACGCAATGCAAACCGTCATGTTTGGATTGCGTAATGCCATAACGCAGACTTCATTTTGAGGTCTAAACGGATGTTCCGCCTATTCATTCGCTGTGCTGATTTCGTAGATCGCAGAGATTGACTCTTCGAATGTTTTGTGGGTAAGTAGACGCGCAGGCATTTCTTAGAGTGTAGGTTACAAGAGTTGTCTATTAGTCCTTGCTCGCCATAAAACTTTACTAAAGAAAAAGCTTCGCCCTTGGTGCTGTGCTTCACGGGAATGTATATTGACTGTCGTGAAGCAGTTTTACCTTTTTCTCCCGTAGAACGGGTTACTTGTTTACTGGTCGAACCTTCGACACCAAGCGGATCATTGCAGTCATGCTACAATATATCGCACGGCTCGTTCGCTTAACAATATGTTGTGTTGATGTTGTTTAATATTTTTTTAGGAACGCACAAACTGCATGACTGAAAAGTTCCGCGAGCAAAGAATGATACGGCCTGCCTACCATTTTATGGTACGGACGACACACACGAGCCTATTAACGTCTCGGTGCTTCACGTGATTAGAGAAAAAGTGGAAGTGCGGACCTTCTAAAGGTGAAAGATTTAAAATTCAGAATTTAATTATGCTTTAAATAAATCACCTAACGTTAAAAAAGAAATTAAACGTCAAAATGAAAGTTTGCTTTATTTTCTATCTTCTCCCTAACAAAGAAGATAGTGCGCTTGCGATTTCGGAACAACTCTGGTGCGAGCTGTGGTTTTTTACAGTTATTCCGCTGTGCCTACGTGGTTGACGCTCAGGTGCTGCCTCAGTGGTATAGGAAAAAAAAAAGTATATATTGCGAACACAATGAACTGAACAAACGAAAACACAATTAAAAAAACGAGTGCCTTAACGAAAATATGAAAGGCAGGAAAAAAAAAAAAGAAACACTCGGGCGAACGTTCTTTTTCAGGCGATTGTGCTAAAGGCCCGTTCCCACGCTTGCGCCTGACTATGGTGCCTGTATCGCGTCTCCGACTGGTGTGTTTAGCGTCCTAACCCGCTCATACATCAAAAGTGGTCCCAATGTGGCAACAAATGTCGCCACAGAAGCCGGAGTGTCATGCTGTTGCCTGTCGCGATCCTGGCGGTTGGCCGTAGAAATGCTGGCGAAAAGCACGAGCGAACGTGAGTGTCGCCGTCGTCACGGCGTCCCAGGCGTCCCAATTTCCGACTGCTGTAGTTTCCGTGGACTGTCACAGTGGAGAGCGACCTGCAGCAGAACAGGCGTCGGCTATGAATACCCCAACTGTTGGGACGCCGCCAGGGTCGCGACCGGCGACAGCATGACACTTCTATGACGTCATCAAGCGGAAATCGAAAGACCACTTTTTTGGCCACGGTAAACACACCAGTCGCAGACGCGTTCCAGGCACCATAGCCTGACTACGACTGGCTTAGACACGACTTGTTTTTCAGCGTCTTGCGATGGCTTACGACCGTCTGCGCGGCAATGCAGCCGGTCACAAGCTTTCACAAGAGACTTAAAAACCGGTCTTGTTTCAGCCTCGTAGTCAGGTGCAAGTATGGGAAGAGTCCTCAAGAGGTACCCCAGACAACGTGAAAAAAACATCCAGAGGGTGATGTCAAAAGGGGGCTATGGTTATCGGGTAAAGAACGACCGGAAAATGGCTTCTACTGCGTCATTGAACTAATTATTGCTCTAAAAAAAAAAAGACTGCAAAAAAAATTTGTAGAACTTTTTTTTTTCTTGATTTAGCCAATTGATGAGTTTATCAACGAGAATAACTTTCTCCCGTTCTAAACTTCCTCTAGAATCCCACTATTTGGGTTCGTACAGGTGCCCCAGCTTTATCTCCGTTCGTGGATACATTCGTGGATAGAACAGTAAGTGGGCGGCTTCCCGAAGCTGTGACAGGCTGTCGGGTGCTGCGATGTGTCGATGATTACCCTCTAGTTAATCTCGTAGATACCCCTATCATTTTGATTCTGCCCTGCCTTCTAAGCGCTGCAGGGAGTCTTAAGTTAAGAGAGGACTCTACTACTAGCGAAATTCTTTTAGTTATTAGATATTCGTTTGACTGCCAGCATCGGAAATTTCCTAATCATTCCAACTAATAAAAAAAAAGAAGGAAACTCCGTGCTGCCGTTTTGCAGTTCCCACTCTAGTGCGGTTAAGTTGGGTGGTGACAACTTTGATTTATTTCAACATCAAGAATCAAGTCTTGTGGTCCCCACTCAACCTCCAGCCTAAAACCGCAACTCAGAGGCCTGCTCAAGGTTTCTGAGCCTCTGTGCCGTCAATTTGTTTCTTTCTGACCACCCCGTGCCTTTTTTTTGCCCTTCTAATAATAACGAACTTGTTAACTATAGGTATCTAGACGCCCCATTCAAAGCACTGGGGTACCCTCAGTTTCGCCAGATTTCTGGTTTTATAACTTCAAAGACACTGAAGTCATACAACATATTTTTGCAAATTTTGTTAGTACATATCACTAAGCTTAAATTGGAAGAGTTGAACAAAAATCGAAAATTCCCTTGTTTCAAATTGATTTTCAAAATAATCCGTATTTAGTAAAATGGCCCCATCTGAGCATTTCTCGTAAATTGGTCGCGGTAATCAGGGTGTACCAAGGTTGTACATTTACATGTACGTTTTAAAAGCTCACGAAAGTGACGTATTGTCGTCTGACTGGTGGAAGAAATTGCCTCCACCAATCAGATGCCGATACGTCGCTTTCGTGACGTTTAAAATGTACGTGTAAATGCACAACTTGGCCCTCCAGGACAACAACGTTCAGCACAAAGATGAACAAAATACAAGGCAACATGCTGGCAAAGTTTGAAAATCCTAGGGTCTACAGATCTGAAGAAAACAAAATTTAAGCATTCTTTTGCAATGTGCCGTGTTTGCGATACAACCTAGCTCTCCAGGACAACAACATTCAGCACAAAGATGAACAAAATACAAGGCGATACGCTGGCAAAGTTTGAAAATCCTTGCATTTATAGATGTGAAGAAAAAAAAATCAAACTGTAAGTATTTATTTGGAATGTGCCGTGTTTGCAATCTTTCTTTACAAATTAACGACGTCCATACTCCGTGGTAAATACTTTAGGTCAATTCTATCTGTGCCTAATTTGTCAATAAATATTTCTAAACCCGTAGCCGCAGAAGTTGTTTTGGTGAAGGTGCCCGAAAATGCCAACTCTGCGCAATCCGCAGAGAGAGAGAGAGAGAGAGCTTCAAACTGAGTGTGCTTCTCATTTTTTCTTTCCTCCAAAGACATTTTTTTCCCCCGTAAATTAAGTTGGTTTGGTCTTGCTGGAATTATTGAGTCGACAAAATAGAATTTTCTTCAGAAAATTAAAAATGGTCGCAGACTCTACTCCGCCCACCCCTAAGCTGACAGTGCAGTGGAAGCTATGGGATCGTTGGACCAGTCACAAGCCTTTCCTTCACCACGTGATCACGCTCTCCCGCTCATAACCAATTGGAAAAAAAAAAAAAAAGCGGGGTCAAGGGATAAAAGGGAGGCGGCTGATTGGTCCGTTGGGTGCGTAGCTTCCACTGCACTGTCAGCGTCCTGGACCGGCGATTTCCAAAAAAAATGGTTGACTGCTCCCTGAATGCCCTCTTCTTCGGAATATTTCGACGAGCGTGATGACGTAGCTTAAAAAAAATGAAACTAAAACACGCCCAGGCAGAGTTAAAACTGCATAGCTCGTCCAAGCCTTCTTCTCCTCAAATACTTCCCCCCTCCTGCCCCCCCCCCCCCCCCCCTTTCCCGCTGCTTTCGCTCGTTAACAAATCAGCGTGCTCCCTTTTTGACATGCACTGTCGTGTAGTCCCTTTGCGCACTTTGACAAGCGACGGTGCATCAGTTGTCACTGAGCGCCTGCTCGAGAGGTTATGAATCTCCCGTGAGTCTGTTTTTCTGGGGCGTTCTAAGTTTTTCTATCTCGGCTCCCGTTCGTAGGTAAGCGAGGCCATCTCTCTTCTGTTGCTTTTCATCGGGAGCTTCGGAAGTTTTAGCATTACATAGTTATGGCAAATATAAATGCAATTTAAACTAATATTTAAAATGATACTGACGTTGAGAAGTAAATTAATTGCAATCACAATTACTTTTTATTTACAAAAGAAAACCAGAAGCGCCGAAACATCGGCATTATAGCAGGTACAGCCCATAAATTAACACGCTAAATAAAGAACAAAAAAACGGAACACTTTAACATACAGTCTCGGCTGTCAAGAAAGGGAATACACAAACGATAAAAATAAATAACATTAAAAGTCAAGACAATTTCCTGAGGTAAATGTTCCCACGTCATCATTAATAAAAAAAAAAAAAAAAGACTCGGGTAACAGGTTCCACTGAGCGAGTGTGTGTGGAAAAAATGAAAACTTCTTATTATCTGTTCTACAGAAAATTCCTATTATCTTTCTGGAATGATCCACACGATTTGAAATATAGTTTGGTAATGCTATGTATTTGCTTTTATCAATACCTGTCAAATCGTTAAAAATTGCGAGTAGGAACCTCAATCGAAAATCTTTGCGTGTTAACAATAAAGTTTCCCAACCAAGTACATTTTTAATCTTTGTAACACCGTTGTTTCTACAATAATTTCCTGCTACAAATCTCGCCGCGCGGTTTTTGAAGTTTCTCTAACTTATCTGTAAGGTAC